CCTCGCTACGAACGGAACAAGGACGCTACGAACGGGGCTCCTGGCCTTAGGAACAAGAAGCTATCTAGTTGAGTTGAGTTCCCCCCCCGTACCGTGCCACGGGTCGTCCGACGCTGGGAACCGCAGCCCAGGTCGGTGAGCTTTTCCCACGTCCACATCTACTGCGACTCCTTGAAGGAGCTCGAGGAGCCACCTGGCGATGGAGAGGATCACATGGATCTCGGTCGTCTACCGTCTCCAAGGGTTGGGCAGAGCACATGCTCTTTTTCACGAAGGCATATGCTGGCCTCATTGGATGTGCTGGCAGTGCTGGCGTCAAAACAGGTTCAAGTTCTAGGAGATCATGTGGCAGGGTACGCCCCCATGTTGCACGGTGCCATGTGTTGTGTGGTTTGCCACTTAAATAGTCACCCTATTTATGGCCAGGTGGGGTTATGAATGGCTTTGGCATGTTCCATTCTTGTACGTACATTTTAGCATTTCTTTTTTCCAAGGTGCGTCTTGGGTTTTGGAGAGATGTAGCGTCGCGAAAAACCTGTTATAACCGTTAGCAAAATACCATTGAATTATATAAACCTCAGACAAGAAAAGGGGGGCCGGAGCAGCACCTGGATTTGCACAGGGTGATTCCATTTTTCCCCGCCCCCCCAAAATGGACGAATCCCTTTTCTCAATTTTTCTCATCACCGAGTTCTGGGCAGTTGGGGCGCAGTGAACCGGCCGGGGCCGAGGTACAAGACGTTGGAGGAGAAGTTGAACAGCTTCAGCCGACACTCCTGGGATCAGCTGGACCAGATGCGCAGCAAGTGGAGAGATCTTTGGGATGGATCTCCTGCGCCACGGCCGCGACGGACGGGACGGAGACTTGACAGGGCCGGGAGGCTCGGGACCCAGTGGTGTACGATGAGTGGTGTATGATGAGTGGTGTATTGATGAGTGGTGTATTGATGAGTGGTGTATTGATGAGTGGTGTATGATGAGTGGTGTATGATGAGTGGTGTATGATGAGTGGTGTATGATGAGTGGAGTATTGATGAGTGGTGTATGATGAGTGGTGTATTGATGAGTGGTGTATTGATGAGTGGTGTATTGATGAGTGGTGTATGATGAGTGGTGTATGATAAGTGGTGTATGATGAGTGGTGTATGATGAGTGGTGTATGATGAGTGGTGTATGATGAGTGGTGTATGATGAGTGGTGTATGATGAGTGGTGTATTGATGAGTGGTGTCTTGATGAGTGGTGTATTGATGAGTGGTGTATTGATGAGTGGTGTATGATGAGTGGTGTATGATGAGTGGTGCATGATG